TACATTTATAGGATTTTTTGTGGTGACAAGATAAGAGGATGTCTATCTCTCGTGTACATATTTTCCCTCTCTCTTAACAAAGCTTCTTTTTCTATCAAAAAGATTCTCTTTTCCAAATACACATAATACACACCAAATACACACATTACGACACATACAGACATAGTACAACATTTTAATACCTATACACTATCTATCAATTACATAATTATTTTACACCTAAATATTGATATACTCATTAAGATACACATTGTGCACCATAACACTTTTTTAGTTTCCTAGTCATCTCTATATTTAGGCCTCCTGGCATCAGATTGCCTTAATTTTCCACATCAAAGTCTTCTTCTCTTTTTTGTCTTTTCCATCCACTATTGTCAACCTTTTATCTTTTTTACTTTCATTTTTAATTACAAGTACATGTGGGAATGTGATTAGAAGCTTTCTGCAGTTATGTTGTTTAGCTTTTTGTGGACATGGAGCATTGTGAGTTTGTTCCCCAACTTTTCTGCGTTTTTTATCCATTCATCTGAGAGGTTGGACGAGGAAGAAGCTTAAGGTATGGTTGTGTGATCCTCTCTTCATTGGTGTTGGGTCTTGGCTGGAATGCCAAGGGGGCGCAACCCATGTACAAGAGAAAGAAAAAGAATTTACAGATCTATGAGTATATCTACAATAGATCCAAAATTTTTGAACTTATCCAGGTTATGAACAAGAACAGTTAATTCAAAAAAATGAAACCATCTATCCTTGATAGTGTCAAAATCAGTAACCTGATTTTGCAGTATGCTGTGTAGAGGAGTAGCTTTCAGATTTTGTTGTCGACTATGATGTAAAAATTGTTTTTCTTTATTATTTTAAAAAAAATGATGTAAAAATTGTTTTTGATGAAAGTTTAAACCAAGTGTAATTTTTGCAATTGTGCTGTTATTTCCTATCTGTTTCTCTTCTAACATAGAAGTCGGAGTTTATATACATTCATGTGGCACAGTACCCTCCTAATTTTGACTATATTTTCCATCACTTCTAATGTTTTCCAGGGCTTGACGACTGGTGGATTGCCTACTTTTATTGATGTTGGGAATAGTTTTGGTGCTCCGGCCATTATTGAAGATAATTTGATTAATCAGGTTTGGTTTTTGATCTTTGTTGACACTTGGACTAGCTACTGTTTCACCTATGCTGTAGTTTGGAACTAGCTATTGTTGAAGGTGCATGTAACCACTCCTTAAAGTTGGAGTGACAAATACTATTAGCAAACATTTTATCCACAGACTCCCTTCTGATCTCATGAAACCATGCAATGTCTGAAATAGCCCTAGAAATCACTTATTTTATTTTCTTCATTTCAGGACATTGACTTATATTCTCCATGAGAAAATGTATTTCCTCTTACTTCCTTTTTAACTACCAGATGAAATTATAGCGTCTATTCTCTAATTTCTAGCTTTAGTTTTATTTCTCCCGGTGTAGATTTTTGGTGAAATTACAACCTTCATGTCCTTACTCGATGACCACACAAGTTGAAAAAATAATTTACCCAAAAGCTCGACAGGACTCTCGAATATTTTCCTGTCAAAATTGGCCTTAAAAAAAGGCCATTAAGAACATTAGAGAAAGCTTAGTCCTCCTGATGGAGTAGGCAAAGTTTATTCAGTAGTGTAAACCTTAGTCATGCCACTTGCCAAAGCCGCGCTAAGAAGGGTTAAAAGATTTAAGATTTGAATTTAAGGTTGTGAAAAGGGGAAAGCTAGAAATGTAGGCCTTTTAAAGAAGACCAACTCTCTGGTCAGATGCAGGTTCCAGCCCTTTCATTTGTTCTTTCATAGCCTCCTACCTGATTTGTTTGGTAAAACCGCAGGTACTGTTGGTTTTGCCTTTGCATGTGTTATGTTCAAGATGATGGACCAAAATCGTTCCTTACTACCTCGAAACCATTAGCGAAAATAATAAAACCATCATCCCGCAAGATATCATTGTCTACCTTGTCATTGCAAATTAATTTTCCTCTTCCAAAACCCACTAAAGCCTCGTCCTCTTCCAACTGAGAAGACAAAAAGAAACATTCAAGTTAGATTCAACATCATAACCCTCCTCTTTCTGTACAATGTCGGTTGCCTCTCCACCAAAAATGGCTGAGATATCATGCCTAGTTTTTATTGACGGGGTTGACCCTTTATGAGAGCTAGAGCCACCCACCCGCTTCAGAGTCGTGTCTGGCCCTGGGGAACTTATCTTATGTTCCCACCATTTACCTCCAAACTCTCTTTTTCTGTTCAAAACTTATATGATTTCCAGCAAAGACATTGTTTTGGAACAAAATTATTGAATGGAGATGCTTGGAAGCTTCAACAGAAGGGAATGTGTTCTCTTCATGCAGATTGGCGGTAATGTTTGAATGTTTATCACAGTCTTGGTAGAAAGACTGAGAGTAGAATTCTCACACGGTTGCATTTTGGACTTTTTAACCCACTATTTAGGTGGCCTCTTAGTAGATTGAACCTGAATATTGATAATCTCTGTTTTCCCCAAAGCGATCCCTGTAAAGTTCTGATAGGAGCTTGGGTTTTTTGGGCCATATTCAGATTGGGCCTAGTTCTATCAAAAAATGGATTCTTTAACTTTCCTTCTTGAGTCCTGTTTATTTGGACACTTTCTATTCAAAAATCTCTCTCTCCCTTCTAGTTGACTAAAATAATTATAGATTTATTCCCTATGGAAGACAAGGGATCTCTTTCCAAAATTTGCTAATGTAATCCCCTCGTCTCCTTCAATTATTGCGAAACTTGATTCCTGCTAGTTCAGAAAAAGTCAACTTCCTGTTTTTGGTGCTCTCGACACTGAAAATGTTTTCTCCTCCATGAATTCAGCCACTCACAGTATGTTGGGAAGGAACTCAGTGGTACCATGACCTCGAAAGACCTTACTTCTGAAAGTTTCCGTTTTTTGGAGCTTTGCTTCAAAAAAAATTACAGAAGTGCTTTCACCATTCTCAACCACCACTTTCCCTAGCACCTTCATGCATAATGCACTGCTCTCCTGCATAAAATATTTCTGACACCATCATGAACCTTCCTCTTAGATTTTCCTTCACATCAGCCAGGAAGTAGTGGTTATCTTCTCTAAAGATCACCCTGCTACGAATTTCCTTATCTCATGGTAGAGGCTTATGGCGAAAAATTCTAATGCAACGGAGCAACTTTCCACAACTTGTCACTTGGAAATTGGGGAGAGGAAATAAGACCATTTTTTGGGAGGATGATTGGATTAGAGAGGGTTGCTTAAAGAGTCGATTTCTCAATATTGCACAATCTAAGGAGATGACTGTTGAGGAAGCTTACCGAGCTGTTAATGACAAAAGTGTATGGTCTATCATTGTCATTCGGAATTTGAATGATTGGGAGGTTGCTGAATATGAGGGTTTGATAAAGATGCTGGCCGGCCAGGTGGTTGACAACGAAATGGACCGGATTGTATGGAAATTTGAAAAAAGTGGCAATTTCTTAGTCAAGTCTTACGACAACCATCTTAGCAGTATAAGTGAATGTGTGACGAGACATAATTTTCCAGCCAAGCAAATTTGGAAAACAAAGGCTCCACCCCGTGTTGCTTTTTTTGCTTGG